CCTGGAGGTGCAGCAGAAGACAAACCGCTTGGCCGAGGTGGAGCTGCGGCTCAAGGACTCCCTGGCCGAGAGAGCCGAGGAGGAGGAACGGCTCAGCCGGCGGCTGCGGGACAGTCAGGAGACCATCGCAAGCCTCAAGTCCCAGCCCCAGCAGATAAAGGTGAGCATTGCAGCGCTCTCCATCTCTGCTGGTCGGGCAAGGGGAGGTGGGCTGGATGCCAGGCGGCGCCCAGTGGGTGCCCTGTGCCATCTACCCCTCTGTCTTGAGCACATCAGCGCAGCACCATGATTTTGTAAATTTTTCCCCCTGGGCCAACACCAGCTCATCCCAAGCCCCTCCGGTGCTGCTTCCTCAGTACACCCCATCTCTGGGTCCTTTCCCCCCCCAGTGTATCATCAAGACGGTGGAGGTGGAGTCGGCCAAGGCGAAGCAAGCCCTGTGCGAGAGCCAGTCCCGAAACCAGTACCTGCAGGAGCAGGTGGGGATGCAGAGGCAGGTGCTGAAGGAGATGGAGCAGCAGCTGCAGAGCTCCCAAAAGACAGTGGCTCAGCTCCGAGCTCAGGTCCGAGCGCCATGGGTGTAAATCAGAAATCGCCCGGCTCTACCGCAGTTCCTGCCTGCGCAGCTGATGCAGTGCAGCGGTGGGCGGTCGTTGGCTCAGCATAACCCCCCCTTACCCCCTTCCCAGATCACGATGTATGAGGCCGAGCTGGAGCAAGCCCACGGGCAGATGCTGGAGGAGATGCAGGCAATGGAGGAGGAGAAGAACCACGCCATCGAAGAGGCGTTTTCCCGTGCCCAAGTGGAGATGAAGGCAGTGCACGAAAACCTGGCAGGTGAGGAGTAGGGAGCAGCTCGTAGGGTCGCCCGGCTACTGCTGGGGGGGTCATGCCGCCTCGCCTCTCACCCCACCTCGTGCCTGCAGGCGTCCGGACCAACCTGCTGACACTGCAGCCCGCACTGCGCACCCTCACCCATGACTACAACAGCCTGAAGCGTCAGGTCCGCGACTTCCCCCTGCTCCTCCAGGAGACCCTGCGGAGCGCCAGGGCCGAGGTGAGCCCCCAGTACCCGGGACCACCACCCCGGCTCCCCCCCACCATCCACGGTGGGGATGCTGGGGGAGTCACTGAGCCCCTGCTTTCCATTCCCCCCAGATCAGCCAAGCCATCGAGGAGGTGCACAACACCAACCGGGAGCTGCTGCGCAAGTACCGGCGGGAGCTGCAGCTCCGCAAGAAGTGTCACAACGAGCTGGTGCGGCTGAAAGGTGCGTGGCGGGGTGGCAGGTCCCATCGTGGGAGACCGTGTCCCTGAGCGGAGGGGACAGAAGAGCATTGCCCCGTTGCACCTCAGCACCATGGCTTGGGTGATCAGCGTCCCCCTGAGACAGTTGGGCCGGTGATGGGATGCTTTGATGCAGCATTCAGCCCGCCCGGCGTTTGGACGGTGACCGAGGAAGGGGGGTGGCAGTGGGATGCACTGGGGCTGACACCATCCCTGCATCCCCCCACCCAAGGAAACATCCGGGTTTTTGGGCGAGTCCGCCCCATCATGAAGGAGGATGGCGAGGGCCCAGAGGCAGCCAACGTGGTGACCTTCGATGCCGACGATGATGCCGTCCTGCACCTCCTGCACAAGGGGAAGCAGGTGTCCTTTGAGCTGGATAAAGTCTTCCCCCCACAAGCATCCCAGGAGGAGGTGGGTGCTGCTGCCCATGCTGCTGGCATGAGTGGGGGATGCAGCCACCTTCTCCTGACACTCCCTGGTCCCCCCCAGGTGTTTCAGGAGGTCCAGGCCCTGGTCACCTCCTGCATCGACGGCTACAACGTCTGCATCTTTGCCTATGGGCAGACAGGAGCAGGAAAAACCTACACGATGGAGGTGAATTTGCCTGGCTTTACTTCCCTCTGTGTCCTCAGCTTCCCATCCCATGGTGCCCAGTCTCAACACCCTCCCTAAACCCAGCTGGTGGCCAGTTCAGAGCTGGTGTCCAGCACTGATGGTCATTGCTGCTGCCAAGGGGTTTGCGCAGCCCTCTGCAGCACCCCTCCTGGACTTTGGTCCTGCTTAGGAAAAAAAAAAAAAAAAAAGCAGAATAAAATGCAAGAGAGTGTTTTTATCCCCGATTTCTCCCCTCAATCCATCAGGGAACAGCAGCAAACCCAGGGATCAACCAGCGGGCCCTGCAGCTCCTCTTCTCCGAGGTGCGGGGCAAGGCGGCTGACTGGGACTATGCCATCAGCGTCAGTGCCGCCGAGATTTACAACGAGGCGCTCAGGTACCGGGAGCAGGTGGGGTGAAGGCATTCTGGTGGGGTGAGCGGAGCTGCCGGGGAGCCGGCGTGGGTGGGCATCACCCCGCGCTGCTCTTCTCACCATCCCACCAGCCCTGTCTTGGCTGCACAATTTGCTCCCAGGGCTTTGGGCGCTGGATTTGGCTGTGCAAAGATTCATTTTTAAATCTGTTTCCAGTGCATGCCGTCCTTCAAAGCACTCACCCTCGAGCTCCATTACTAATACAGGCTCCCAACCCTGCCATCGCTCCCGCTCCCCCAGCCTTGGTGCAGCATCCCACTCTCCTCCCTGGATGTTATATTTAGAAATCACTAACTGGGAGCTGGGAGCATGAGAAATATTTTCCTCCCCTGCCCAGCCACAGGCGGAAGGGGTCAGGAGGAGGCTGGGAGCACATCCATGTGGGTAATGGGGACCGGGAATGGCAATAAAGAGCATGGTCTGTGTTGGGTGGTACATGGGGAGCTGGAGAGATGAGGTCTGTAAGTAGGATGTGCAGCATCCCTGGGAGGAGAGGGCTGCTCTGGCAGCCTTGGCACGCAGTGGCAGGAGTGCCATGCCGGAGGGGAGCCAGTGCCCATCACCGCCCCCACACACACAGGGTGGGGATGGTGATGGGTACCCCTTTGCACAGGGACTTGCTGGGGAAGGAGCCGCAGGAGAAGCTGGAGATCAAGCTGTGCCCCGACGGCAGTGGGCAGCTCTACGTCCCCGGCCTGACCGAGTTCAGGGTGCAGAGCGTGGAAGACATCAACAAGGTGTGGGGAGATGGTGGGAGCAGGAGGGTGGCACTGGGGCTGTGATGAACTGGGGTGTGTGGGGGTCTCTGGTGCGTGAGATTTGGGAGTATTTCTGAAACACCAGGGAGTGACATAGACCAAAATAGGTCCCTGGGGGTGATGTGACGGTCACTGTCCCATGGGATGAGCCACAGGGGGGTTAAAAATAAAAGCGTGGGGCCCAGGCAGCTCCCCAGGGATTAGTAGGATGCCGGCTGTCACTGCAGTGTCCTGTCTGTCACCTTTGGTGCGTCATTCAGGCTGAGACCTGACAGCAGTCATCACAGTGGTGGACCAGACACCTGATGGGGTTGTGTCACTTGGGTTACATCCCTGGGGGTCCCTGGGTGACAAGGGGGGAGTTGTGGCAGGTTTGGGGCAGGCTGTCATCACCCCCTACCTCCCCATGCTCTTCCCCAGGTCTTCGAGTTCGGCCACGTCAACCGGGCGACAGAGTGCACCAACCTGAACGAGCACAGCTCCCGCTCCCATGCCCTCCTTATCATCACTGTCCGCGGCCTTGACCGCAGCACAGGGCTCCGCACCACAGGTGGGTGCTGTGCAGGCAAGCCCCTCACCGGGGCATCTGGGCTGTGGCATCCCCAGGCTGTGAGGTGCTGTGCGCTGACGCCAGCCGGGGGTCGGGGTGGGGATTTGGCTGTGTGTCCCCAGGAAAGCTGAACCTGGTGGACCTGGCGGGATCGGAGCGTGTCGGGCGGTCGGGCGCAGAGGGCAGCCGGCTCCGTGAGGCGCAGCACATCAACAAGTCCCTCTCGGCTTTGGGTGATGTCATTTACGCCCTGCGCTCCCGGCAGGGCCACGTGCCCTTCCGCAACTCCAAGCTGACCTACCTGCTGCAGGACTCACTCAGCGGCGACAGCAAAACCCTCATGATGGTGCAGGTACCTGGCACCCATTGGCATCCTCGTGGCTGCTCAATGGTGTTTTTTTGGGGATGGGGTTGGGTGTGGGGGAGGGACGCTGGAGGCAGGAGGTGGGCTGGGAGCAGGGGACTGGGTGTACACACGGGGACATCATCTGGGCTGCAGCCGCCGTGCCGGTGCAGCTCTGCGCCTCGGACAAGGAGGAGGGATGGGGGATGAACTCGGAGGTCCACCCATGATTCTGCCCTCCCTGCTTGCACATGGGTGCAAGCATGGGCATGGTGTCCTTCCATGTCATCATCTCCCCATCCCCTCTCTTGCTGGGAGGATTTCTGGCAGCTCCTCCATCCCTGCCCTGTGACCCCCTCCCACGGCTGCCTATGCTCACACTGAGCCCCCTCGGCGGGTGCCCAAGCCCCTGCCACCTGCTGCAGCTTTTCCCGGCTGTCCCTCGTGCTGGGGCAGTTGGTGACAGGGGATCCGGCTGGCCGTGCGCACATGGACAGGGGCTATCCTGGGAGCAGCAGGTTTAAGAATAGCATCTCGCCGGGGCAGCACCGGTGTGTTTGCTGGGGTGGGGGAGCCCTGGGGTTGCACAGGCAGCCATCAGGGTGACTTTCTGGCTGCTCCTGCCTGCCCGCAGGTCTCCCCCGCCGAGAAAAACACGAGCGAGACGCTGTGCTCCCTGAAGTTCGCCGAGAGGGTTCGCTCTGTGGAGCTGGGGCCTGTCTCCCGCAAGGCTGAGCTGACCTCCTGGCCCAGCCAGGAGCAGCTGGAGGTAACCGAGGGGCCACCAGTGCCTTTCCTCTTCCCCCTCACCCCAGGGGGTCCCCCTGTTTTGCCCCTAAGCATGGTCCCCAGGAGCCACCTCCACTGGCAACCATCACGCAGTGGGAGCGGGCTGTCCCCAAGCAGCAGCATTCAGCCGATGCTGCCACCTTGGCTCCTCCAAGCCAAGGTGGACAAGGGGAAAGAGGTTTAAACTAAAAGAGGGTAGATTCAGACTAGATATAAGGAGGAAATTTTTTACACTGAGGGTGGTGAGATACTGGCCCAGTTGCCCGGAGAGGTGGTAGATGGCCCCATCCCTGGAAACATTCAAGGCCAAGTTGGACAGGGCTCTGAGCAACCTGATGTGGTTGAAGATGTCCCTGCTCATGGCAGGGGGTTGGACTAGATGGCCTTTAAGGGTCCCTTCCAACCCAAACCCATCTATGATTCTATGATTTTTTTGATTCCAAGCTCTGTTTTGCAGCAGCCCCACGGTACCCCCACAGCATATTTGGACATCACTACCCAGGCAGGCTCAATCTGCCCACAAACCTGTCCCCGTTTCTTCCCTCTGGGGACTGGCATGGACTAATCCTGGGGCTGTGCCCTGTCTCCCCCAGGGTGACTCACCAGGAACTGCAGCATCCTCCAGCCGGGGCCACACGTCCCCCAGCCCGGGGCAGCTCTCTGGCCGTGCCGCCTCCATCCGCAGGAAGCTCCAGACCTCAGGTGGGTGGTGGGGCACCGTGATTCTGTGCCCAGCCGGGGTCGCTCCATCAGAGGAGACTCCCGCCGCCAGCCTTGTCCCAGCCGGCAAAGCCTGCGCAGTGGAGCTAGCTGATTTGTAATCAGCTCATTAACAAAAGTCTAATTAGGCATTGGGAGCTTGGTTAGCACTTCCCCAAAAGCACCCTGGTGCGAAGCCGCTGCTGGTGGCCCAGGGTACACAGTGAGGGGAGAGCAATGCTGCGGGGCAGTGGCAGTACCCCCAGGGCTGAACCTCTCTCCCCTTCGATTTCAGCCTGAATTAGGGGCAGCTGCGGCTGCCAGGTGAGTGCCTGCGGCCGGGAGACGGTGGAGGGCTCTGCTTTGGCCCCGCTTCCCGGCAGGGCAGGGGTGCTGGGCTGTGCCGTTCGCGGGGATGCTGGTGGGGATGCTGATGGTAGCAGCTCAACGCTGTGCCCACTGAAATGCCACCGGATGGGGCTGGGGCAGTGATGGCCATGGCCCCTGCCCGCTGTGAGCCACACTTGTCACCCCCCAGGGAAACTGAGGCCGGTCCCTGTGTGATGAGCGCAGGCACCAAGGTGCTACGAAGAGCTGGCTGCTAGAGGACACAAAGGCTTCGGCGCCACCCCCCTCGCCCACCAGGACCTGTGACCAGAGGGTGATGGCACCTCTCACTGTGAGCACTGCGGGGCTGGGGTCTCCCAGCAGCCCAACGCCCATCTCAGGGTGGGGGGCACCAGCCCTGGGCAGGGACTTGCCCCCCTCGGACCCTCAGTTCTGACTTTTTATTTTTGCTGGACATCTGTTTTTAGCCAGAGCGGGGAAGCTGCTGGGTGCTCCTTCCAGCTCCTCCAGCTTTGTTTTTACAGCAGTGGAGGTATCTGGCTGGGGCAGGGGGGAGTTCAGAGCCAGGCAAGCCCCGAGACATGTCTCTGATCCCCCATGGGGCCAGCCTGGCCAGGGCTCCCCCGAGACTGCATCCAGAGGAAAAAATAAAATAAAATCCCAGCAGCCCTTTTCCCCATAGGTTTCTCAAGCCCTGTTGTTGCATGAAGGCACCCTGGTGCCGTGCATGAGCCGAGCTGCCGTTCATCGTGGTGCCGGTGGTGCCAGGGCCCCATGCCCGCCGCCCCAGCACAGAGGGACAGCGGTCACAGGGTTGCCTGTGTCACACCACACCAGGGTAGATTTAGCGGTCTCAAATGAAGCTATTGTAAAGTTATTTACCCGTTGTCTTGTCAAGAGCGATCACAGCGTGGTCGAGATGAAAGTGTTTGAAATATTTATACCCTGTTTACATGGTCTTGGAATGGAAAACAAGTGGAAAACAAACAAAAAACCCTAAATCTCCAGCCCAAAGGGCTGTTGGCTTCTGTGTGGGGATGGGGGGGCGGGGGGCGGAGGAGATGGCACTGCCCCCTGTACTTCTGGGCACCACTCCCCCCCGTGGGTACACTTCCTCCTGCTGCAAATGCCCGACAGGATGCACTGATGGCTCCTTCCCACCGCAGCCCTCTCCTCCCACTCTGCCACAGCATATTCTATTTAAGAAAAAAAAAAAACAACCAACAAACAAACAAAAAAGGGAAAAATGTTTAGCCTTTTGTAAGATTAGATGTTTCTATGTATTTTAATAATTAAAAAAAAATCCTGTTTTGTAACAAAACTTATTTTAAATAAATTGTTAAAGCCAGTCCTCCTGTGCTGCTGCTATTTCTCGGGGGGAGCCTGCCAGCACAGCCCCCCGGATTGCAGCTATGGGACATGGAGTTGTTAAACACTAAGGAAGCCCCAGCACTGCAGCATCTTGCTCCATCCATTTGACCCCCCACCTGGAGCACTGTGTCCAGCTCTGGAGCCCCCAGCATATAGGAGAGACATCAACCTGTTGGAGTGGGGCTAGAAGAGGCCGCAAGGATTCTCTGAGGGCTGGAGCCCCTCTGCTGGGAGGACTGGTTGAGGGAGTTGGGGTTGTTCAGCCTGGAGAAGAGAAGGCTCCAGGGAGACCTATAAGGTCTTCCAGTAACTAAAGAGGGCCTACAGGAGAGCTGGGGAAGAACTTTTCACAAGGGCAGGAGGTGGGCAGAGCCTTTTCACACCTCGGTCAGGTCCAGGCACAGAATTATGGCCAGAGGGCCCCTGGGTGATGCAGCAAGGGGCTGCGGTACAGGCAGGACACATGCCCTGAGTTCCCTGGTGCTCGAAGCAGGCAGCATCTTCAGCCCCAGTGGTGCTGTCTTGCAATGGGACATTGCCGGGGCCTCCTGCTGCATGAGCCACCTCCTCCAGAGCCACAGAGCAGAGCAACACACTGCCCTTTGTTCCTAAAACTTGACCGCGTTTGTCTGAAGTATCAGCAAGGTAGGGACTGACCTTAGATTTCCTGCTGGCCCCACTCTACATAGCTGAAAGTCTCCTCCATCCCCCCACACCAGCAGCTGAGGAGCTCAGAGAACCACGTAGATGAAGGATGGCCACTACAGCGAGACCAGCTGGAGATGAGGCGAGAAAAGATCCGCATGGGGCAAGGGAGAAGGACAAGCCACAAATGATGACGTTGCTCTTTGGGCTGGAAACTACCCAGCAGAGCGAAACCTCCCCCAGGGTTTTCAGTAAGCCACCTGGCGAGCGCTGTCTCTCCAACTTGCTCACCGTCTCTCTGACTTGCTCACTGCATCTACTTAACTCACCGCAGCCTCCCTGGAATGGCTGGCTTCCCCCTGGGACACGCAGGGAACAGAGACCTGCTTTCCCCGGACGCTCCCAGCCAGGAGCTGTGCCAAGGTGAATAGTACTTCAAGAGATTCAGGCATTCAACACAACTTTTTTTAAAAAAATGTTACAAATCTTTTAATAAAATTCATTATAAGTTACAGTTTCCTGGAGAACAGGCTCCAGTGTATAAAGTGGGAGACAGGCTGGGAGGAGGAG